CATTTGAAATCTCTAAAAAGACAAATATTTAGGAACGGAGGGAGTAGTGTGTTATGTTTGGATATTCGAAGCTGCATTATGTTTTTGATGGAGATGGTTTCTAGTTCATCTGAAATAATTGCCCATCTCTCTACCTTACAGTTGTTGATTTTCTGAGGGTGTTTGTGTTGCATCCTGACGGGGCTACTTTACTTCTTAAGACCATCGAAAGTGGAAACGGTGAGTTTATGCTTGTGCCTGCTAATGCTTTAGCGCATCAGTCTTTCTTGTCTGAGTTTTTTTTTTTGACTCAGTATTTTTGGTTATTATGTTCATTTTAAGAATAGTTGGTAGTATTTCTTAGCAAAATGGTGAGCCTTGTTTTGTTTATTGGTACTGAACTAAGATTCTTTACTCATGTTATCAATCAGATGTACCCATGGAAACCTTCCGTAAGGCTGTAGCAATACCTGTGCACTCACCGAATGTGCTTACAATCCTCAAAGCAGTTACTAACTTATTTGACAACTCATGCTTACACCAATGGTTGAAAACCCATTGTGCTGAGGTTAGTTTTCAAACTACATACACTTATTTTTTGTTTCAGCCTATTTATATATTTTGACTTGAAAGTAGCTGTTGGTTTTATGATTCAATAATTATTACTAGAACATCTATCGGTCAATTTCTGGGCCTCTTTTAGTTCATAAAACGAAATTAGGTTTTGGTGCGCCAAAGTAGTGACTTTTGTTTGCTATCATTCCAGATTATTGATTCTTTCTCGAGCTGCAAGCCGTCTTTTAGCAAGAACGCTCACTTGGCATATGCCACACTTTTACTGAAGTAAGTTTTGAGTTGTGTTATACTTGTACCTAGCCATGCATTACAATTTTGTTGGTCATGATGCTGGAACATACTTAGCAGGCACACCTGGCAATGCTGCTGATGTCCCTGCATTGATTGATCTTGTCTCTTTTTTTGACTAATATATATATTTTTCTGCAGCTATTCTGTTCTTTCAATTCAATCGAAGGATGAACAAAGTCAGGCACAAATTCTTTCTGCGGCCCTTGAAGTGAGTTCCCATATCTCTGACCTCTGTAAATCACTCTACTCCCTGCAGCCACATGTGTTTACATTTCTTGTCTGGATCCACAGATTGCTGAAGACGATGCCCAAGATGCCGATTCAAAATACAGGGCCCTTGTTGCAATCGGCTCTCTTGTATCCTTTTCGACATTTCATTACGCAAAACAACATATTTATTATGGCAGAGTTTTGAACGAGGTATCACCTTTGCATGTGCTTCCCTTGACCTGTTTAACCTTTAGATGTTGAACGGCCTGGTCAAGTCCATCGCCCTTGACCTCGACGTGAAGAGCGTCGCAAGCAGCGCAAAAGCTTCCATGGACTCGAAGATCGCCGAAGTCGGAGCTGATATTGAGCTGCTAACAAGATGAGAGAAAAGAGTGTCACAGATACATTGGAGAGAAAAGGAGGAACGGAGGGCTGGGCGCAGCGTTGCAGCTAAGTAGTGGTAGCAGCCCACATCCGCGCAGGTGGTAGCAATAGCATAACTTTTGCGTGAGTGCAGGAGAGTTTGCTGCACCTTGTAATCAGCATGGTATCGTGCGAATCCTTCGCTCTGATCACAAAGTTTACTATTTATGCGCACGCAGGCGACTGATCACAAAGTTAGTATAAAGTTGAGTCACTTATTTTTGGACGGAGGGAGTAATAAACACAGAAGCACATCGTTGATTCTTTCCTGACTCATTTTAAATTTTGACGATGTACGTTTTGTTCTTAGACGAAGTGTTAATACGATCAAGCGCAAAAGAGAAGTGCTCAGAAAATCATAAAGGGCAAGTCACCAATATTTGTTCCTCGGTACCTCATGAACCCACACCGGTGGTGCGCAAGCAGTGGCGGCTCTTTCGGTCGCCGGCCGTGTGATCCTAAGAGCATCTCTAACAGCCGCGCTAAACTAGCGCCGCGCTGTAAATTAGTCGTTTGTTTAGCGTAAATTAGTCGTTTTTAGTGCGCGCGCTACGCGGCGGGTCGCTTCAGCGGGCGCGCAAAAACGGCGCGCGCGCTATAACTAGTTGGGCGCGCTGTCGAAAACGCCATCCCGCGTGGTGTATATCGGGCGCTTGCTAAAGCGTGCGGCACACTCGACCGCTCGCGCCACACTCTCTTCTCTCCTCCTCCTACGCCCCGCGCGCGCCGGTGTCGGCGCCCTGCCACCCATGGACGCGCACACCGGCACCCCGCTGTACAGCCGTGACCCCCCCTTCCCCCGCCGCCGCCGGAAACCCTAGCGCGGGGAGCGTTGGCATCGCCACCGCCGGAGCTCCGCCGAGCGACGGCCTCGCGCGCAGCCTCTTCTTCCCGTCGCGGATGACCACGACGACGGCTGGCTTTTGCGCGCTGCTGGAGCGGCGCGCTAAACCAGCCGAAGCGCGCGCGGCAAACAGATTTTTTGCGCGCGGCGCTTAGCGCGGCTGTTGGAGATGGAGCATCTCCACCCATGCCCCCAGGACACCCCTCAGGGGCCTTTTTTAGCACCGGCGATAAAAATGCCCCAGCCGTGCCTCCACGACCTCACTTTTTGCTGGTTTAAGTAAAAATTAGAGTCTATTACACCACTAGTGCTAAAACTTGGCGTGAAAAATCACTTTAGTGCCAGAACTTACGGTATACATTGAATTGGTGTTACAACTTGGCTTTGACGTGCATATACAGTGCAAATCACGTTTATATACAGACACGGTGCTGACTGGGCGCGCCATGTGGCGTGGGGCCGCTGTCGGTCAGTGAACGGTAGAGGTAGGGCGTGTGGCTTGGTATTTTATGGGAAACCCCTCGGAATTCTTTTCTTTCACACAGTAAAGTCCCTGGCAGGTGTTTGTCCATCCGTAGCAAATTGTGTGCAAAAATGACAGCCTATGGAATTCGAACACGTGACCTGCAGCAATAAGGGGCGGATGGCTAACCATTTGCGCACACAAGCATTTGATATTGTAACAAAAAACGCACGTTATATATCATATGGCCGTAAGCTAGCTGGAGAACCTTCACCATTCTGCAGTTTTTTTAATCGTGTGTGATGGTTTAGGATTTTATATTTTTCTACATATTTTAATAAATGTTTAAATAAGTTTCAAATTTTCAGGGTTTTAACAAGATATTAATGTAGAGTGTTCATGCTTTAAGAAATTTTCTACATATTTTTATAAAATGCATAAGTTAAAAAATGTCCATAGTTTAAAAAATACTCATATATTCTATAAAAGTGTTTATTATTTAAGACGCATATATTCATATAATGTAAAAATAGTTTGTTGGGATTCAAACAAGCAACATGTAGTCATCAGGTGCGCGTGGCCACAACCCCATCCAACAGCGTTATTTTTTAAGAAATTCAAATACATAAATTATAATATTATGTTATAAATAATATAATAACAATATTACATTGTACAACGATTCCCATATTATTTCATAAATTATCCATATGATTAAATTATAAATAAAAGAATTATGCAATAATAATTTTCATATTCTATAAAAGTATCAAAGTAATTTTATATTTTCTATATACTTAAAAAATATAATATATATTAAAAATGCTCATGCTCTTAACAAAAAATATCTATTATATAAAATTATTTATTTTTATTCTACAATTAACTAATTTATAACACACAATTATAACTTACATATAATTTACAATTTTTTAAAGAAATGTCAGAGCAAAATGGGCCGGTCCGCTTAAGGTGTAAGGAACATATATGATGCGTATCCTCGCAAAAAGTGAAAACAGTTCTTGGTGCATTGGTTGGGCGCATACCCCTTCATGCCCCAGATCATGGGTTCAAATCACATCAGCCGCCATTTTTGCATATAATTTGCTCGCTCACGGATGGACCTGACACGTGTCTACGAACTTCTCGTTAGGAAAAATAATTCCAAGGGGTTTTCAAAAAATAATCGGCCACACGTCGTACTATACCGTTCAGTAGATGATAGCGGGCCCCACACCACGTGGCGTGCTTAGTCAACACTATTTCCGTATACAAGCTTTTTGCACCGTATATGTATGCCAAAGCCAAGTTATAACACCAGTTCAATGTATGTCATAAGTTTTGGCACTAAAGTGAATTTTTATGCCAAGTTATGGTACTAGTGGTGTAATTGATTTTAAAAATTACAGCCGACGCACGCAAGGGAAACCAGGAAGGCGGGGGGCAGCTGGGGGCGCCGGGGCTTAACTTTAGTTGCAAAAGGCCCACTGCCAGCCTCTCTGGTCTCTCTCTCTCCTGGCCGGGCCACCACGTGCCTCCCCCGCTCGTCCGCTCCGTGGCGCGTCTCCTTCGCTGGCCCCCGCCGGTCCGCTGCGCGTCGCTGTCTGCTCGCATGGCTCTCCTCTCCGCTGCCGGAGGGCCGCCTCAGCCGCGCCATCGGTACGACAGGCGCTCCGCCCTCCCTGGCCATGGCTCGCGCGCATGGCGCCTTCCTGCTGCAGCTGTTGGACTTGCGCACCACCGAGGTCGCCGCCGAGCTCAAGTACCAGGAGGTGGGCACGGAGGCCGTCGACGCGCTCGTAGAGCCGGTCGGGCATCCCCAGCCCCTCGCCGGTGGCCACGAAGGGCACGCCGTCGTACTCCACCACCTGCTGATGGACTTGCTATCGCTGCCCCGCTGCTGGACTTGCTATCGCTGCCCCATTCGGCTAGAAGCAGTGCCGCCGCCTTGACGCGACCGCGGCCCGGGCGCGCGCCGGTGCGGGCGGGGCGCGGGGCACTCGGTGCAGCTGCAGCAACCAGGCAGAGCAGCAGAGCTGCCGCGACAACGATAAGGAAGCAAGGGAGGAGTTCGGCAGCCGCGTACTTGGCCTCTGCAGGGCTCCGGCGAGGCAGCCGCGTACTTGGCCTCCGCCGCTAGGAACGGACGCGCTTGAGCTCGTCTTCGACGCCGCCGGGTCCCGCGCCTCTTCTGCATCAGGTGCATGACCCCTCTCAATCTTGGACGAGCTCAACTCGGCCAGCGGCGCGCCCCGGCCCCCTCGCAGAGCGCGGCCACCACCTCCACCTCCCGCGCGGCGAGCGACTCGAGCCGTCGCGCCAGCTCTGGGCGCGCTTGAGCTCCTCTTCGACGACGCCGGCGACGTCCATCACCCACGTCGGCAGCTCCGAACCGGCGCCGGACGCCGCCGTATCGTTGTTGCCGTGCTGGCGCAGCGGCATGATCCTACGCAGCAACGCTTGTGCATGGCGAGGAGGTTGCTCACCAGCTGCGTTAGCTGCGCCACGGACGCCTCGACGCGACGCAGCAGGCGGCCATCGGTGCCGTGGAAGCCTGCAGGTCGTCTTCCGCGTGCGTCCCCTGCGAACGCTCCTTGGCGCAGCGCCGTGAGCGGTCTCCATCTCCGGCTCCGCGCCGTGGAGGGGCTCGGCCATGGCGTTGAGCGACCACCCGAGCTCGTCGACGGAGTACCCGAGCAGCTCTATGCAGTTGCGCACAACCATCTCCTCGCGCGCGTGGTTGGACAGGGACGCCAGGCCGGCGACGGCCCCAACGGCGCTCACGGCCTCGCCGAGCGTGTCGCGGAGCGCAGCGCGCAGGACGAGCACGGCCTCGCTTGGGGAGTTGGGGGTGGAAACGGCTGGAGATTTTTCCATCCCGGGCCAAAGTTTTCGCCGGCAGCCCCCAAACGGCGAAAAAAGTGCCTCCTACGGGGCTCAACGGCTGAAGAACACAGACGAGTCAATTATTTTGTTTTCTCTGCTTACAGATATATGGAATCCTAAGATCAGACGAGTCAATTATTTTGTTTTCCCTGCTTACAAATATGCAATATATTCCATTGCAAATATGTCCTTGAAGCTGCGATAAGTGCTATTCTAGAAGGACTTTCTTCGAGTATAGAGCGTTCTGACCTACCTATCGTGATCCACTCCGAATCTTCGGTTGCTATCGCTGCTCTAACGGATGATCACTTGATCGCTCTGCCTACATACACTTGATGATAGAGATCAAGAAGCTTTTGGAGCTTCATGGGTCAATTCTATTGAAAATTATTCGTAATTAAAATAGAGTTGCTCTTAGTCTTGCTATAATATAGGGAGCGCTTGTTGGTTGTACCGAGTCTCAGACAGTGTGAAAGATTTTGTATTAGTAGACGGTAACATTTTCCCGAGGAATAAAATACTCACTATTTCCCGCAAAGAAAAGAAGACAAAGTGGCTTGTTGGCTGTACGTAGTTCACCATCTATACACGTCAGCGGTATATAAAGGGACTGAAAAACAAAAAGGCTCCATTGCCGGGATTTGAACCCGGGTCGCCTGGGTGAAAGCCAGGTATCCTAACCGGGCTGGACGACAATGGATTGGTGAGTCAGAATTATGATATAAGCTATTTGTATAGAATCAGCCCGCTAACTTCTTTGGTTTGGTCAAATCCAAAGATTTGCTTTTTTTGCTTCGATGGTTGCCAATCTCTGGCTATTAGTTACTTCATCTGTTTCTTTTTAGTCTGCATGTAAGATTAGGTCTAAGTCAAATTTTGTTAACTTTGACTAAGTTTATAAAAAATCAAGATTCACAATATAAAATCAATATTGTTAGATGCATCATGAAATTAATTTTCATACCGTATAGTTTTAGTATTGTAGATGTTGATATTTTTTCTATAAAGCTAGTCAAACTTTATAAAGTTTGACTTTGACCAATGATATGCAGACTAAAAAGAAACGAACAAAGTATTACATACCCTTTCCCGCTGTAGTTTATGATTTCTCTGGCATTAAGACCGAGACCAAGGATGAAACCGTATTTCTTTTGAACACAGTCCAGACGCAAGTGCTCATATACACGTGCATACACTCACCCATATGAACACCTCTGAAAAACTGAATAAATGCGAGCACTAGGACTTGAACCTTGGTGGGCTTGAGATACCATAATCCCTCTAACCATCCAATTATAAGTTGGTTCTCAATGAAACCGTATTGATATGATAAGAGTTGTAGAATACCGAATGGAGATCGGTCATGAAAAATCGAAGACCCAATTAATTTTGGTCAGATCGGTCTATCTTCCACAGCTAGCTGACCGAATAAAACAAAGAAACTGGATTACTCCGCGCCATACACCCCTGAGGCCCACACACTCATGCCTACAACCCTATAGTCCTATCAATCTCGTATACCCGGAGTCCCAGACTCCATTTCCTTTGCCCTTCTCCCAACTCGTAACTCTGGGAGTCTCACAAAGTTGCGAGTCTCAGCATAAGTGCCTTCCACAATTGCCCCCTTACTCATATTTAGAACCAATGAATCACACAGCTTTTATTGTGAAATTTGTTCGTTTGGTCAAGACGAAGACCGAGCCGTATTGACCGAAGACTGAATAGAGAGAAAATGAAAAGAAAGAAGTAAATTCAGCCATTAAATAGGGAAGATCGAAATGACTGGACCGAACAAACTTTACATACTGAATGCACATGTTTATGTACAGGTAACACCGAGCGTTAGCTACCAATGCAAGAAGTACATGCATATTTCAGAAAGATCTACGAACCCACTTTGTGGCAGAGAGGAAGAATCAAGCTACCATGTCTTGATCGCATGTGAACATGCAAGAGAATTGTGGGAACGTATGAGAGAAAGGTGACAGTTACCTAATAATTCTAGGCTTAGAGCAACTCCAACCGGACGACCCAAACAGACGTGCCTTTTGTCCGCTTTTTATTCGTTTGGGTCGGCTCAGCGGACACCCGTATTCGCTTTCGCGTTTGGGTCGGCGCTTGCGCTCAATGCTGGTCCGATCAATTTTTGAGTTCGCGGGCGAAAAAATAAATAACACAAATATTTTGAAATTAAAAACGTTAATCAAACATAAATGCCGGCCACGAGAGTCCACGAGTCCACATTACATTAATTAAAAACATTTAATAAACTAAAAAAGAGGAGGAGGTGCGTTGCCCTAGGTGTCCTCGTTGTCAGTGCCGGGGCCGGTGAGGTCAACGAGCGTCGGCGTCGGGCCAGCCCAGGGGAACGCCGTCTCCCAGGCTGTGGCGACGTCCTACAGAGCCGGCGTGAGCGCCGCCGGCTGGGCAGCGCGGGCCAGGCGCTCCTCCTCCTTTGCCTCGTGGCGCTCCTCCTCCGCGTCACACTCCCGTTGCTCAAGGCGCTCACCCTCACGGCGCTCCTCCGCCAGCCAGCGTGTTCGACAGTGCTCGAGTTAGAGCTTCTCTTGCGTCGGCGTCGCCCCAAACCAGATGGGTGATGCGCTGACCCACTCGTGTGCCTCTCCTTGTTAGGTGTACCGCTGGGACGTCAGCAGATCCGGGGACGGCGCCTGTGACGCCCCCGACTTAATCATGCACGCAAATGTGCACGATTAAGATCAGAGACTCACGGGAAGATATCACAACACAACTCTAGACACAAATTCAAAAATAAAACTTTATATCAAGCCAGGGCCATGAAGGCTCGAATAAATAAGTGAGTAGAAGCAACGACATTTGAGTACATACATAAGATAAACAAGTTTGCCTTAAGAAGGCTGAGCAGAACAATGATTGAGGGTGTCCTGGACTAAGGGGTCATCGGGTTGTCGGCCTATCTCTCATGGGCCGGACTGGTGGGCCACTCTTGATTCATCCAAGGAAGGCCGAACTGCAGACGATCTCGTTCTATGAAAAGAAATCTCTGAAGACTTGATGTATCCTCCAAGTCTTGTTAGCGAAACTGGCATGTTTATCCTCTGATGGTGACCAACCATGTGTAACCCTAGGTACCCCTGGTGTCTATATAAACCAGAGGGTTTAGCCCATAGGGGGGAGAACCATTACTACGATACCCACCTAGGGTTTAGTTCATTCGATCTCGTGGTAGATCATCTTTGTAATTTTCACACAAACACATCAATACAACCAAGCAGGACGTAGGGTTTTACCTCCTAGAGAGGGCCCGAACCTAGGTAAACACTGTCTCTACGTTCCCTGTTACCCATCGATCTGAGGTCCACAGCTCGGAACCCCCTACCCGAGATCTCCTGTTTTGACATCGACATTGATGCTTTCATTGAGAGATAGTGTTTCACAGCCACTCAGCCACTCTTGCTGATCCGAGGCCATTTGCCCCGCATAGACCAGATCATAGACGCCACCGCTAGGCACGACTCACTGTGTTTTCTCGATGCTTACTCCGGGTACCATCATAATAAAATGAAGGAGTCCGATCAAGCGGCCACAACCTTCATCACCCCCCATGGGCCATTCTGCTTCAACAAAATGCCCTTTGGATTAAAAAACGCAGGTGTTACTTACCAGCAGATGATCCAGACATGTCCGGCAAAGCAAATCGGCAAAACGGTCTAGGCATATGTGGATGAGGTGGTCATTAAAACCAAGCACGCCAGTCACCTGGTGGACAACCTCCGCCAAACCATCGACAGTCTGCGGGCTTACGATATACGGCTCAATCCGGACAAATGTGTCTTCGGGGTACCCGCGGGCAAGTTGCTCGGATTTGTCGGCTCCCATAGAGGAATAAAGGCTAACCCGGCCAAAATCCGGGCCCTGTCCCAGCTAGCGATTCCCACCGAGCTAAAACATGTCCAGAAATTGGCCGATTGCGTAGCGGCCTTTAAGCCGCTTTATTTAACGACTTGGTGAAAATGCCTTACCACTCTACAGGCTACTCAAACGGACCAAAAAATTCGAATGGACTAGCGAGGCAGCGGCTGCACTGGAGGAAATTAAAACATTACTGGCCAGTAATCCCATCTTGGCAGCACCCAACGTTGGTGAGCTAATGCTACTATACATTTCGGCCACAAACCAGGTGGCCAGTGCAGTCCTCCTCGTTGAACGAGAGGCAGAGGGTCACAAGCTCTAGGTGCAAAAGCCAGTCTACTACGTGTCTGAGGTGCTCACCTCATGGAAAACAAGGTATCCGCATTACCAAAAGATCGCCTACGCAGTCTTCATGGCATCCCGAAAGCTCTGACACTATTTTCAAGAGTGTTCGGTCACGGTGGCACCAAAGTATCCCTGAATGATACAATTAACAACAGGGACGCTACAGGCTGTATAGCCAAATGGGCCATTGAGCTCCTCCCTTTCGAAATCATATACCGATCGTGCCAAGCTATTAAATCTTAGGTGTTAGTGGATTTTGTGGCTGAGTGGACGGAAGCCGAGCTCCCTAGAGAGTACAGTATTTACTAGTATTGGACGATGTATTTCGACGGCTCCAAAATGCTCGCCGGACTGGGGGCTGGAGTGATTCTCACATCTCCCACCAGCGACAACATCTGGTATGTACTGTAGATTATGTACACCGACTCCAACAACGCAACTGAATATGAGGCTCTGCTGCATGGACTTCGAATGGCAGTATCAATGGGTATACATCGGCTCGAGGTACGGGAAGACTCTAATCTCTCTATATCTCAAGTCAACAGGGAATTCGATGCAAAAGACCCAAAAATGACAACATATTGCAATGTCATCCTAAAAATATCCACCCGGTTTGAGGGGCTGGAGTTCCATCACGTTTCTAGAGACAACAATCAAGATACCGATGTCCTTGCTTGAATGGGCGCTAAACGTGACCTCGTTCTTGAGAACACCTTTTTGGAACGACTCTTCAAGCCGTCCGTGGTGTGGCA